TCAAATGTGCCACTTATGTACAGAAGGGGACACACGATGACGGCTTTGAGTTCACTACCGACGAAACCACTCCGAGTCTGGCCTACAAGACAGTGATCCTGAAGGGAGCCATTGAACAGGGATTACCTGAAGATTACATACAATTCCTGAAGTCATTCAAAGACAACGGAAACATAAACGCCGGTCCAAAGGATCTCAACTTAACACCAATTCCATGAATTTAGACAATCATTGAATCTATTGTTTATCATATTTTTGTTAGGTTTTCAAATATTTTGAATTTAAATTTGTTAATATTTATCGAAAAGTTACTCGAATAAAAATATATATTTTTATTGAAACTATTTTAAAAAGTTTAAATAAAAATCAATTTTAATATACTATTGGGTATTGTATTGTAAATAACAATAAATTAAATGACGGATTGAGAGACCGTTTTTAAGCTCTAATGAAACGACAATAATAATATTATAATTATTCACATATTATGTGAAACACTTGTGAAGCAATTGTTTTCCTTACGATCACTCAAAAAGTTTTTTATTTCTATTGATTTTATCAAATAGTTATAGTAATCGTTATAAATTATAAATTATAACTTATAATAATAACAGTACTAATAGTAATAGACGTAATATCCATAGAATTGCCTAATTGTTTATCTCAAATAAATTGCATTTCAATCTGTCCTTAACTTTAATATCATATCAGGTCTTGTAATGTCTGATAATGATATGATTTTCATTACTGAATGCATTTATTATGTAAGCCTGTATATAATATCACATATAAAAACCAATAAAATTATTTATAAACTTAAACAAAGTTATAATTTATAATTAAAATTTAGACATTTTCAGAAAATTCAAGTTTTTAATGCTTTTTTCTACAAATATCAAAAATAATACTAATTGTGTCATACATTTAATTCAAAGGTAAATAAATTTACATAAATTATATATTGAAAATGCTTGTATAAAATGTCAATAATATTAATTTAATATACAATAATGTAAATCTAAAATGCGTTTAATAAATTAAACATAGTTTAAAAATATAAAGTACCTTAAACCGGGGAAACTTTATAAAACTACATTAAACATTGTATTTGTTTGATATTTTATAGCTGAATGGGCATCAAGTTAGATTAATTTGTATGCAAACTATGATTAACTAATTGAAGTGTCAAAACAGACCAGAATATTCTGTACGCTATTTATAGATACAAAAGTATTAATATATTGATTATATTTGTAACTATAGTTAGAAATGTCCACAAATGGTAAACTGTTTTACTTCTGTTTTGCATCTAATCTGTGGTCAAAGCGGATGCATATCGACGTCAAGAGTGCCGTTAAATATGGCAATGGATTGTTGAAGGACTGGACGCTTACCTTTGCCGGTGCTTCCAGACTCTGGTTGGGATCCATGGCTAATATCGTACCCAAAACTAATGTATTTAATGTTTTTAATTTTAAATCAAAGGATCAATTGAGTTAGGAAAGTCCATAAGAGGGCAACTTTTAATTATAACTATTGCAATAATTTCAACCATTGATTCAAACATAAAAATTGAGGTTTACATTCATTTTACTGGTACAGCAATAATTAAAGCTAATATTACAGTTAAGCCCCTTATGGTAATCCTAACTCAATTGTTGAAATATTATTTGATACAGAGATTTGTTACAAATTTTATAGTAATTCTTATATTTCTTAATATAAAGATTTCTTATAAAATAACATAATAATTATTTTCCGGAAACTAATTCCAAATATTAATTGATTACTGTATGAATGCTCTTTAGGGCGTCGTTTGGGGAACTGTTTGGACAATTAGTGACACAGAATTGGAAATTATGGACAAACAAGAGGTCGGATATAAGAGGATTGAAATCAATGTATTAGTCGGCGAAGAAGTGGTCAAATGTGATGTTTATGTACAGAAGGGGACTAACGTTGACGGGTTTGAGTTCACTACCGACAAAACCACTCCGAGTCTGGCCTACAAGACAGTGATCCTGAAGGGAGCCATTGAACAGGGATTACCCGAAGATTACATACAATTCCTGAAGTCATTTAAAGACAACGGAAACATAAACGCCGGTCCAAAGGATCTCAACTTAACACCCATTCCGTGAATTTAGACAATCATTGAATCTATTGTTTATCATATTTTTGTTAGGTTTTCAAATACTTTGACTTTAAATTTGTTAATAATTACCGAAAAGTTGATCGAATAAAAATATATATATTTTTATTGAAAGTATTTTTGATAATAACTAATGTTTTAAAATTTAAATATTTGACATTGATATGTCTCAAATAGTTTTAATTCAGTTATTTAACCATACTTTATTTATTATAATTCTATTATTCTGAATACAAATTATATGGACAATAAGTTTTATTTATAATAATTATAAATTATTTATGAATTATAAAAAATGTGTAAAAATTGGTTTTGGTGTAACTTTTGAGACTCGATGCTTGACATAATATAAGGTATTCCATCATTTTGATATCAGTCTGAATATCAGTTTTCACGTTTTGAGTTTTATATTTTTAATTAGGATAATTTCTGTCACATTTCGATTTTAACCATAGTAAATTATATAATTTATCATTAAAACTCGACAATAATTCAACAGAAGAACATGATAAATTTAAAAAAGTAAAAAATAAAATAAATAAAAAGTCTACGACACCGGGTATTCCCAGGTGGTCTCCCTCCCAAGTACTAACCCGGCTCGACGCTGCTTAACTTCGGTGATCGAACGAGAACCGGTGCTTTCAGCGTGATATGGCCGTAGACATTAAACATGCATGCTTATTATACTTTTATAATGTTCCCAATTTAATTTAAATATTTTCAAACTGTCATGTGTTAAAGTCAATCATACAATTCGCAATTAAACAATAACAATTTTTGTAACAAACCTTTTCATATGTGACATAAATTATGTCATCAGATGCCATGTGTTTGTTACGCAATCATTAACTGTTTACTTGTGAAACGTGTCAAACAACCAGAATATTCTGTACACTATTTTCACAAATAACAACAAATTAATTTTATTTTATTTTTATTTTATTTTATACGATAGACAGATAGAAATGTCCACAAATGGTAAACTGTTTTACTTCTGTTTCGGATCTAATCTGTGGTCAAAGCGGATGCACATCAACGTCAAGAGTGCCGTTAAATATGGCAATGGATTGTTGAAGGATTGGACGCTTACTTTCAGTGGCTATTTCCCCCTCTGGTTGGGGGCCAACGCTAATATCGTACCCAAAACTAATGTAGTCAATAGTTTATAAGTGATTAATTCTTTAAATATTAGATATTTGATACAGTATATTTGTTACTAATTTGATTACAGATTAGTTAATTAATTATTAGTTATGACTGATTTAAAAATTTAATGAACAATTATTAATTTGATTTTTGATTAATGCTCTTTAGGGTGTCGTTTGGGGAACTGTTTGGACAATTAGTGACACAGAATTGGAAGGTCTGGACAAACAAGAGGTCGCATATAATAGGATTGAAATCAATGTATTGGTCGGCGAAGAAGTGGTCAAATGTGTTACTTATGTCCAGAAGGAGACATCAAATGAACGATTTGAGTCTAACATTGATTCAACGATTCCGAGTCTGGCCTACAAGACAGTGATCCTGAAGGGAGCCATTGAACAGGGATTACCTGAAGATTACATACAATTCCTGAAGTCATTTAAAGATAATGGAAACATAAACTGCGGCCCAAAAGAACTCGACTTAACATGAATTCAAGCATTGAATAAATGGTTTATTTTATGTAAAGTTGTTAAATATATTATGATCCACTTTTTAGCTAATTATTAAATGTTTGGTTTGTTTTTATACTTCAATACATTTAAAAATTAGACACAAAAATATACTTTTAAAGATTTATTTGTAAACTTTAAAAATGTTAATTATTAAAAATATTAAATATTTAAATTGACATCTATGTAAGTTATATTAAAATCCTATTTTGCTAATTATATTATAAACTAAAATAATATTTAACTAAAGCTCTAGTAATAATAAATAATAATCACAACTGCGTTAAACATAATGGCATTTAAACGCCAATAATTCAAATACTTTGAGTGAGTCTTTCCTCTGGAGTGGACTTCTTGTTGTTTTGAAATTCAATTTTTTCCAAAGTTTTCAGCAATTCTTTGCGCTTATATTTAATAATATCATAACATTTACACTGCAATTCTTGGCCAGCGTTGCGGCCCTTCGACGGCGTTTTGCGGACAAAACTATAACCTTTGTGTTGAACCGCGTAATTGCCGTTACAATCAGTGCTACGATTCCCATAGCGATGGCATCGATGGATGTCTTCAACGAGTCCTTTGCTTATAAGAATAGCCGCCAAATCGCTGTCGCCGTCGATGTCTATCCGTCCGTAACGACCGGTTCTGTCTTTGTATTCAATTGTTGCCAAAACCGTAAAGTTATTCGTTTCCAACTGACGATAAATCTCATTCATAGCGTCCACGCTATGGACCTCTTTCTTGTGGTCAATGTCTGTGAGATAATAGTTGAACGCCTGAAAGGGTACGTAAGAGGGATACATATGATGCACGAGTTCCCGCATTTGTGACTTATGGCACGTCTTGTCGAAGCCGTGGTCCGGAAAGTAGACGCCAAACAAGAAGTTCTTCTGATGACAGTTCTCGAGAACCACTCCTCTCAGCCACTGTTTGTCCGCTTTGTGTCCGTCGGGACTGACAAACGCGGCCACGAATGAGCCCTCTTTGAACAGACCCTTTCCCTCCACGTGTTTGGCGTTATATGTCTTTTGTAGCATTTTGTCCATCTGTTGATACCGTTTCGCTCCGTCGGACTCCACTTCTTTCACGACAAATTGGTTGATGTCTTTCAGACCCAATACTTTGATCAGCATTTTTTCAGCCATTATTTTCGATATATTTTATTTTACTTTTTGTGCTGAAGTTTTTAAATTTATTTATATAGTCAAAGATAAAGAGCTGAGTACAAGAGCTATAGTACGTAAGTACAATACCTGATATGAATTGCTAGAGATTATGGTAAAAATATCTAATTATTTACAAAATAATAATATCTTTCTACTAAACAGTGAAATTATCAAAATCTAAAATGAATCAAACGGAAAGTTTATTTAAGTGGAAACGCCTTAATAGTTGCATCGGTTAAAGATATCACATATAAATTATAATTGCTTATCATTTTGTAGATAATTAGTGGAAAAATAGTTAAATACAAAATCCTATGTTAAAAGTTCACAAAATAGATAACACATGAAAAACAGTGGAATTTTATTATAATTGCATAAACCGTGTAAACGACTGACCCATAGCTTAGATTTAATTACATTAAGAAATAAATTACTTGTAAATAAACAATAAATATCTATATTTAGCACTACAAATGTAAAAATACTTTATATTTAATTTAAATAGATTATATCAAATGTTGCCTAATTATATTAATTTTAATGAATCAAATCATAAGTTTTAAATATTCATAAAATAAGTCAATCAATAAATTTTTATCCACACATTAAGACATAATAACTAAATTAAAACAAATGTGCAAAAACTTGTTGCACAAGAAAATCGACTCAATGGACACAGAATTACAGAATCCAAGGGTTAGTCAACGGATATAACCGTAAGAATCGGTGACAAGAATTCAATCAATTGTTTTACATTTCAATACCAGAGACCGCTTTAAATGTTTTTAATGTCACAAACTTGAGTCCCTTTTCATATGAAAAACACTATTGAATACAAATACAAATAAGTGCTCATAAAAAGTGCCAAATGTTTATCTCATTGATTATCTGATGAAATGTTTTAATGCATTTCAATGTCAATATAAAAAGCAGACAATCAGTCAGTCATTGAATTGAACCACAATTTGCTGTGAAATTCAGTCAAACACTTCCCACTCTTCGGTCCAAATCTAACCGTAAGTTTGTGTCCAAAC